TGTTGTTGTTGTTGCTGGTGTTGTTTGTTGTTGTTGCTGTTGTTGTTGTTGGTGGTGGTTGTTGTTGGTTGTTGTTGGTTGTTGTTGGTTGGAATCTTCAGCATGCGCTGCCGTACGCTTTGGTGTTTTGATCTCTTTTGCATGCGCTGCCGTTAGCGGATCCCTTGAGCTGTAGCAACTGTAGTATTTCAGCAGTGAGCGCCTCCTGCGAAAAGATGTAACTGCTTGTGGCTTCAGATCTTTCCCTGCCATAAGTTGGCAGCGGAGCTTTTGATCCAGGGAAGCTCCTGCAGGCGCGGCGGCATGACCTCGAGCCCTTCGCTGGCACCGCCACCGATGTTCCCTACTTCCTTGAGTTCCTCGGCCCGAGCGCGGCCACGAGTCCTAACAGGACGGTCCCTGGAACCGCAGCGGAACAGCCAACTTATGTACGGCCTGAAGAGTATCGTCGACCTTCTGCTCCGAGCCGCCTACCAGTGCGGACTCTTTGTGGCCCTGAACATGTTGGGGCCTGGCTTCCACACTTTCCAGATTTGCCTGTCTTTTCCGAAAGGGAAACGCGAGCAAACCTTGCAGTGGCTTCCACTTGGGTGTGTAAAGTGTGTCGCAGCCAACGACTGCAGGTGAGACAGGATGGAGGACAGTTAGTCTTTGTTAATGTGCTCGAGCTCCTCCTCGGCTTCTCCTCCCACCCAAAGAACAGCACAAGGCAAGTGCCGCCTCCGAAGGTGACATGAGGGCTTCACTTGCAATTGCCAAAGTTCAACACGACGCTCGAATTTGTTAAAGGCACGGAGGTCGTCCTTGGCATGGGTGCCGGCGGAGAACCGCCGGCAAATTGGTCCTCGGGCTGCGTTCCAGGAAGCCTGAAGAAGATCTTCCTGTGCTGGCGGGCTACCAGCAGGTGAGCCAGTTTGCTCTATCTCCTCCTTGGCTCGTCGGGCTCTCCGCTGTCTCCTGCTAGGCCGGTTGGCTTGCTGATCCATGTGGGCCATCTCGTTGGCCGAGCTGGGTGTCACCACTGGATCCACGGTAGGATCCTCGCTCTCAAGTCCGTGTCCAGCTCCCGGTTTTGACCACGTAGAAGTCGACGAGACAGCCGAGGATCTCGGCAAACTTGCCTCCGATAAAGCAGCCATCCCGTGAGGTGTGTAAGTCCACACCCCCTCGGCAGTCGCTTCCACAGCCGGCTGGAAAGCATCGTAGAGCTCAAGAAGCTGTGCAGCAAGGACGGCATAACCTTCCTTATGGACCAGCTGCGTGGTCCTTTGCAACCAAAGCAGGTGTACCTCAAGCGGAAGTACCTCGCCGATTCTGAGACCATTACCCGAGCACAGGGAGAAGGCATGCGCCAGTGCGTCAACAGGTACCACAGCGTCGAGAAGGCCTTGATGAGCACCGGCGTCAACGTGGGCCTGACCTATGACAGCAAGAGCAGAGGCAGCAGGTTACTGGACAGGGCAAAGCTTGCTTGTGAGAACAGCCCAGTCACTTAACTTCGACGAGGTAAAGAATGCCATGGTTCTTCAGTACCCTGACCACAAGCCGGTGCCTTTCCTTCCGAACCAGCGAAGACGATGACGAGGAACTTGTTGCAGACGATGCCGACGTCGACCAGGAGTCCCTTTGAGTCCCTCATGTCATGGAAGTGCTCACGGTGACCAGCCGCAAGCTACAGGCCATGACTCAGGGCAGAAAGTACCGTAGAGCGCCCCGGAAAACCATCGAGGAGCGCGTGTGGCGCTGCCGGCCACTGGGTTGGCTATAGCGAGTGCCCCGTGAGCAACAAGGGCGGCAAAGCCAGCGGTGGCAAGGGCATGGGGCAAAGCTCCACAGAGAGCGCCGACCGGAAATCCGGCCCGCAAAAGGCAGCAAAACATGCGCTGCTGAAGGGTGTGGCAAGGACGATTCTGTGAACAGACTATTGCAGGTAGTTTGGATGTTCATCGAGTGGAAGAACTGGTGGCCGGAGTGGCAGCATATCCAGCTCTGCTGACGTGAGCGATCACGTAGCCGCTTCGCGTTATGCCACGCCTGTATTTGGAGCTGTGGTGGGAGCACGGCTACGACCGGCTTTTTGCACGAAGTTCTTCAAGCAGCACTCCGGCTCCCTGATCATGTGAGCCTCTGAAGCGGGATGTTGAGTGTGTTTCTTGGGCATGTATGAGGGCCCGACGGTGCGATGCATGGGCGCAGGCGTCGCGCCTATCGTGGATATGCGCCCGTCTCCACCTTTTGAAGTGCTGCCGGGCGGGAGAAGCGTGACACGACGCCTGCCGAAGATCTCCATTCAAAAAATTTCTGTGTGTGGGTCTTTGCGAGTGTTGGCCAAGCTGATTTGAGCGCTAACACATGTCGTGAAGTGCACGCAGTGTACGTAGTGACATGGAGTTGAGCGGAATGCCAGAGTATGCCAGAGGCATGTGCGGCTCGGGTCCAAGTTTGGACAGGAGCCGGTTGCTCGGTTTTATCGCACCCAGCCACATTGCCCAATCGGTGGATGTGCACGCTTCTCGCCAGCGCCACCTTTGGAAGTGCTGCTGGGCGGGAGAAGCATGACACGACGCCTGCCGAAGATCTCCACACAAAACATTTTCTGTGTGCGAGTCTTTGCGAGTGTACAGTGCAGCGGTGCAGTGTCTCCACCATGTTGGCCAAGCTGGTTTGAGCGCTACCACATGTCAGGTGAAACAACAGTCAAAAAGCCAAACCTCAGACTTTGCACCTTTTGACTCAGGACAAAGCTTAAGCTTTACATCCGTAATTTTAAGCTCCAATTCCGGACTGTTGCACCCTAATGCTGATGACGATGTTGAGGATCATGATGATGGTGATGGTGATGATGGTATTGTGAGACCTGATCCGAGCCCACGTAATTCTGCTACTAGTACTTTTCATTCCTTCCGATGTCGGTGTCGCACCTGCTACACGAAGAGGTTGGAAGCCTGCGTCAATGATGGCTCTGAGCAGATGGACTGCGAGCTCAAGGCCAATTAGGGGTTTCTTTCGACGTCTGGAGTTAAGAGTGTCTGTGAGGTGGCACATGGGATGAAACCAGTCATGTGCACATGCAGGCTCCTTTTGACATTTTGCGTGTAATGCCGTCATTTTGCAGCCATGCCTGCCAGGCAGGGCTGAAGAGAATTCAGCCGAATTTGTTCAGACTCGTCCTAGTGTGACACTGATGACCCGAACCCGGAGCTTCGGGACCTCCCACTGACCATGTTTTCAGTCTTGGACGGTAGCGCTGTTGCCATTAGTGTTGCTTGTTGCGCACACGTGCGCATACACGGCACATACATACACACATGCAAATAAATTTTAAAAAATAGAATATAATTAATTGAGCAGCGCAAATAAACAACACGTAGATGAACTGAATAGATAATATATCAATCTGAACAAGCAAATTGGTAGATAGATTCACAGACAGATCGATAGATAGGTAGATGGGTGGATAGATCGATAGATAGATAGATAGACAGCTAGATAGATAGATGGACGGCTAGGTAGGTATGTAGGCAGGTAGATAGATAGATAGATCGATTGAGAGATAGAAAGATAGATCGATAGATAGATATATGTGTGCATATATGCATGCATGCATGCATGCATGTATGTGTTCTATATACATACGTACGTACGTACGTACGTACGTACGTACGTACGTACGTACGTACGTACGTACGTAGGTAGGTAGGTAGGT